TCCTGCCTCAGCCTCCCGAGTGCTGGGATTATAGGTGTGCGCCACCACACCTGGCTCCTTTATTTTTATTTTATTCTTGTGGGTGGAGTTTGGAGTTCTATTACCAATTTTCTTGTTCACCCTATTTTTATGGTACTTGTTTTATTTATTTCATTAGGGGCCTCTTTATCTCTCACAATTTCTTTGGTGCTATTTCTCTTTCAATTAGTTTTCTTATTATTTTATCCTTTTTCTCTAGTTTAATCTCTATTCCTTATTATTTATCCTTTTCCTTGTTGGTTTTCTCCATTATAGTTATCTACTAATATTAATTTTCTTTTACTCCTCAATAAGATCATTTATATCAATTTTATTACCTTCTTCCCATCTTACATTGCTTAATTTTTTAAAAGTCTATTTTTTGAGGCTGAGGCAGGAAGATCATTGCAAGTTCGAGACCAGCCTAGGCTATGAAGTGAACTCAACACCAGCCTGAAGTGCATAGCAAGACTTTGTCTCAAAAAAAACAAAAAAAGTCTATTTTTCTTTCTTCACACTCCCATGCCTGCACCTTATCTATACTAGTCTAACCACATACTCTTTTAAATTGATAGATAGTTAACTATATCTTATCATAGTTAAACACTTTTCTATTTTGCATGGAGGTAAAATTGATCTATTGACTAGATATTTACTATAAATAAATATCTGCTATGTCTTAAGATATACCAGACTACCCAGGTGTGGTGGTGCACGGCTGTAATCCCAGCACTTGGGAGGCTGAAGCAGGAGGATCGTTGTGTGTTTGAGAGCAGCCTAGGCTACAAAGTGAGCTCAAGGCCATCCTGAACTGGATAGCAAGACCCTGTCTCAAAAAGACAAAAAAAAAAAAAAAATACTCTTTTAATCTTGGGGGTCAATCCATCTGCAAGTTTGTGAGGAACCAGCCCAGTTGGAAAAGAGCTGCTTATTTCACCAGCTCTGAGCGCTCCCTGTCATTCCCTCAATTGTTGTTGTCCACAGAAAAATGCTTCCACTGACTGTGATCTTCAAAGAAGGCCTCAGGGCCCACACATCAAAAGTGCCCAATGTATCCGGAAACGCAATTCCACCCAAGGATGAAGTAAACAACTCGCTCAAGTGAGCTGGAAATCGCAGGGCCAAAGAATGTGGATAATCTCAGTGAGCCAAATGGAACTTTCTAAGCTGCTGAAAAGAGAACCTTCTTTTAAAATTTATTCCCTAGTCCACATGAGAATTAATTTCATTTAAATGAAGTTGAGCATAAATGAAGCTTCAAGTCTAAAAGTTAATCTGTGGATACTTCAAACCTTAGGGTTCATGTCCTACTGTTTAAAACACATCCAACTTTCAGGTGAGTGTGGTGGCGCAAGTCTGTAATCCCAGCTGTCAAGAGAATTGTAGGGAGTTCAAATTCGAGGCCCACTTAGGCTACCTAGTGAGTTCAAGGCCAGTCTGAACTACATAATGAGATTCTGAAAAAAAAAAAAGGAAAAAAAAAAAAAAACAGAGATTCTGTCCCAAAAAAACCCCCCAAAACCCAAAAATAAATAAAACCCACATCCAACTTTTAAAAAAATGTCCAGGCCGGGTGTGGTGGTGAAGGCCAGGCATGGTGGTGCACACCTGTAATGCCAGCACTCGGGAGGCTGAGGCAGGAGGACTACTTTGAGTTTAAGGCCAGCCTGGGCTACATAGTGAGACCCTGTCTCAAAAAAACAAAACAAGCCTCCAAATTTTGCCATCTTCATTTTAATTTTATTTACACCTCCTATCTCAGGAAGTGTTTGAATAAGATACTGGCCAGTAAAATACGAGATACACTCCAACAGTTGCTTATGTACGGATTTAGTAAAATCAAATGGAGAAAGGTTTTTCTTGTCCTTTATCTGTTTTGGACAAACTTACTTTTTTTTTGTCTTTTTGAAACAGGGTCTTGCTATGCAGTTCAGGCTGGCCTTGAGCTCACTTTGTAGCCCAGGCTGGTCTCAAACTCACACCAATCCTCCTGCCTCAGCCTCCCGAGTGCTGGGATTACAGGCGTGCGCCACCACGTCCAGCCTTGACAAACCTACTTTTAAAGGTTTTTTTTAAAATATCCATTCTAGACCCAATTTGTATTTTATTTTATTTTTATTTTTTTTTTTTTTTGGTTTTTCTCCGGTACCGGGAACCGAACTCACGACCTTGCACTTGCCAGGCAGGCGCTTTGCCGCTGAGCTAAATCCCCAGCCCCCAATTTGTATTTTATTTATATTAGATGCTTATCAGGGAGTACACATTGGAAGCAGGTATACATCGTATTATTTATAATTGTATTTCTTGGATGCTGTCTAACATCTTCCATTACAATAATTGATTAAATAGAACTAGCCAAGACACATTTTTCCATTTTCGTTGACAGTTACAATGAAGCAGTATTTAAAAATTCAAGCTGGGTGTGGTGGCGCACACCTGTAATCCCAGCACTCGGGAGGCTGAGGCAGGAGGATCCTTGCGAGTTCGAGGACAGCCTGGGCTACAAAATGAGCTCAAGGCCAGGCTGAACTGCATAGGGAGACCCTGTCTCAAAAAGACAAAAAGAAATAAAAATAAAAAAAAGAAAGGGTTGATTTCTGTTCTCATTTGCTCAATTTGAACTGTGCCACACTGTGACTTGCAAAGCCATTTTCTTTGTGCTAATTATTCAAAAGTGAGTTCAAAGTACTTTCTCATTTACTTAAATGTGCTAAATCAAAAACTTAATTGCAAAGTCAGAGCTGAGTGTAGGCTCTAGATTTCTTCAGTTCCAATCCTGTAATATTTTAATTTTGTTTTTGTTTGTTGTTGTTTTTTGAGACAGGGGTCTCCCTGTGAAGTGCAGGTTGGCCTTGAACTCACTATGTAGCCCAGGCTGGCCTTGAACTTGAACTCACTACAATCCTCTGGCCTCAGTCTCCCGAGTGCTAAGATCACACGCCTCTGTCACCATAACTGGCATTCAACCGTACAACTCTTAACACGATCATTTTGTTTTGTTTGTTTTGTTTTTCTTCCAGTACCAGGAATTGAACTCACGACCTTGTGCTTGCCAGGCAGGCGCTTTGCCAATGAGCTAAATACCCAACCCCAAAACAAGTTTTTTTTTTTTTCTTGTTTTTTTTTCCGGTACCAGGAATCGAACTCAAGACCTCATGCTTGCCAGGCACACACTGTGCCGCTGAGCTAAATACCCAGCCCTTAACACGATCATTTTATGAGGTCAAGGAAAATTCTACTGGTTAAAACAATTACTGAGTTCAGGGTAAGAAAGTGTCTAAATAAATGGTCAAGTTTGGTGGTACATGTCTGTAATCCTAGCACTTGGGAAGCTGAGGCAGGAAGATGGAAACAAGTTGGCTTTGGCGGACAGCCTGGAAGGGGGAGGGGGATCAGGAGGGGGCGAGAGAGGAGAAGAGAAGGAGGAGGAGGAGGAGAAGAGGAAATAATCAGCGAAGGACCTGGTAGACCTGGGCCGGGGCCCTGCTCAGATGAAGCAGGAACGCTCCTCTCTCCCTCACGCGGCTGAGACGCTGGCTGGCTGGCCTCTGGTAGCCTCCATACAGGAGTCCACAGCGACTTCTGCTCTGCTGGAGCCACTCGGCTGGGCCAGGCGTCCTGGAGTTCCTGGGGACACTCGCAAAGGCGGGTTAGATGGCACCCCGCGGGGCCAGCTCCGTCTGGCCTCCTACTTCTCCCTCCCACGCCCCTCTTGCTCACCTCGCCTACCTCTTCCTGACCTCCGCCAGCAGCCCTGCCCTGTCCGGTCTTCCGCTTCTCCTGCTTTGGCTTCCCAGGTTTGCCCTGTCCCGCGCATTGCCGGGGATTCTTAGGGAAAGCACTGTAGTCCTGTCCCAAGTCCAAACGTGTCCCCTGTCGCCTGCTCGGCGAAGCACCCTCCCACTGTGAGTAGTTACATGTGGCAGCGTTAGCACGGCCTGGCGTGCCTGTTCTTCCTGGGCACCCTTCCCAGGTTCTTCTCGTCCTGAACGAAGAATTGGACAAGAAATGCACGATAGGTAGAAAGGTTTTACATTTACTAAAGGTGCTAAAGGTAGGAAAAGAAGTATGCTCTGCAGAGTACAGAGAAGGCCACCGAAAGAGTTTACAGTGGCAACAAGGTTCACGCAGCCGTCTTCTGTATCCTCCACTCACTCTTCAGGCCGATGTCAGATCTAGGCCGTCCCATCAAAAATCTGCTTGATCTCCGCCAGAAGAACTGAAAATAGCATTTTCTGATTGGTCCCGGGTGCAGGGCCTGGGCTTCTGTGTCCTGGATTGACAGGTCACACCCACAGGCCCAGTCGGCCACGCCCTATTCTCCTGCCTCAGCAAGTTTAAAAAAGTTGCTGCTTTGTATTTTTCCTCTGGCATGTCTGCCTACTTGCCCTGCCTACATCGATATATAATATCCTTTGGTCCCCTTAAGATACTTAAAATTGATAGATATTCCAATTCCTTGTACAAAATAGCATCAGATTAGCATATAACCTACACACATCCTTCTGTATACTCTAAAGCCTCTCCAGATTATTTATAATACTGGATACAGCATAGCCGGGCGTGGTAGCTCACGCTTGTAATCCTAGCACCCAGGAGGCTGAGGCAGGAGGATCACTGCGAGTTTGGGACCAGCCTAGGCTACAAAGTGAGCTCAAGGCCAGCCTGAAATGCACAGTGAGACCCTGTCTCAAAAAGACAAAAAAAAAAAAAAAAATACTGGATATAGCATAAATGGTAGGCAAATAATTGTCATACTGTATTTTTAGGGCAGTGGTGGCAAACCTATGGCATGTATATTGTTTTTAAGACAAAAGATGTTAATGTATAAATTGTTTTTTCTAAACTAAAACTTCAGTATTCAAGTTTAATTGCAGTGTTGACACTTTGCCATGAATAAATGGGTTTTGGTCAAAGTTTGGGCACTCTTCTCTAAAAGGTTCGCCATCACTGGTTTAGGGATTAATGACAAAAAAGTTTGTGCATTCAGTACAGGTTCGATTTTTTTCAAATATTTTCAATCTGGCACTGATTGAGTGCAAGGATGCAGAATCCATAGATATGGAAGACCAGCCGGGCATGGTGGCGCACACCTGTAATCCCAGCATCAGGAGGGTGAGGCAGGATATTGTTGTGAATTCAAGACTAGAATAAACTGCAAAGCAAGATCCTCTCTCTCTCTCTCAAAAAAGAAAAAAATGTGAAAAGTCAACTGTACATGTGAAGGAAAATTTTAAGCCATTAATGTGCTACCTACTTTTTCTTAAGTCATTATTTATTCCAATGTCTCCATTTTACAGATTGTACAACTGGAGCCAGAAGGGTTAAATAACTTGACCAAACAACTGATATTAAAGATTGACTTTAAAGTCAGGCATGGAGGTGTAAGGCTCGGCTCTCACGGCGGGATGGAAAGAACCTCCAAGAGACGGTCTCTCATGCAACAGCAAGGAGTTTTATTTCTATGCCAGAATAGGGTCTGCCTCTCACGCAGGAGAGCGACCCCCGGGAGCTTTTGGGCAGAGTTTATATAGGGTTTGGGGGAATTAGCAAGCTGGGTTACAAAAGCCAATCGCGTTGGTTAAAAGAGCTTGACCTTTTACATGATTGGTTAAAACATGGGGTTGGTTAAAGGCCAATCATGAGGCTGGGTTATAGTCCAATCAGGATTGAGTCCTTGGGTGGGGGTCTTCTTGTGGTCATTTCGGGGAAACAGAAACTTAGCAAAGTCCTCTTCTGGGAACCTGAAACTTATCTTTTTGCAACCTTTATCCTGAAACCCAGGGGGTGCACGTATGTTGCTCAAGATACCAGATGCTCTCTTAGTGGCCTGTGGTCTGGGGCCTCACAGAGGCACACACCTATAATCCCAGCACTTGGGAGGCTGAGGCAGGAGGATCATTGTGAGTTCGAGACCAGCCTGGGCTACAAAGTGAGCTCAAGGCCAGCCTGAACTGCATAGGGAGACCCTGCCTCAAAAAGACCAAAAAAAAAAAAAAGCTAGGAGAAGGTCTGGCCAGTGTTGCGGGGAGGGAAGGAGGATAAAATTTTAAAGAGGGGGGCTGGGGATTTAGCTCAGCGGCAAAAGTGCCTGCCTGGCAAGCGCAAGGTCTTGAGTTCGGTCCCCGGTACCGGAGAAAAACCAAAAAAAAAAAAAAAAATTTTTTTTAAAGAGGGCGGTCGGGGACACCTTCCGTGAAAGCCGCAAGGGCCCAAGCAGGTGGCTGGCCGGAGAACCGCGGTCCCTGCGTGGGAAGCAGGCCTGGGCCTTTTGAGGAGCCCGGGTAGTGGGAACAGAATGAAGGAAGAGGAGGAACCGCGGACGAGAGCGGAGAGGCGCAGGAATGTCCCTGCGTGGGCCTTCGGGGGCACAGCAACGAGCGGGTTCCACCCACGCGCCCCCGCCCTTCACCGCCACCTACGGCACGCGCCAGGACGGGCGCGGGGCCCCTCGCAGCCGCTCCCCGCTCCTCGGGAAACCTGCGCTTTGCAAAAGCCTGTCTGCTTTGGCAGGAAAGAGAAGGAGTTTCATAGGGAATTTTCGAGACTGGAGGAGGTGCTCTGCAAGACCTCTGTGGGCGGGCTGAAGCTTCTCTGCAGAAGCAGTGAAAATTGCAGGAACTCTGAGGTGGGGAGAGGCAGCCAAGCCCGGAGGCCGGGGGAAGTCACAGGAGGAAGCCGGTCACCAGCGTGCAGAAGTGCTACCCGGCGCGCGGCCGCCCAGGCCCTTGGTCCCTGTTCATTCTGCCCCGGGGACTCTGGCAGGGCAGGCGGAGTCGGTCCTGCCGTGAGGTGCAAACAGGCACAGACAGGCTCCGTGACTTGCCACCGGCACGCAGCTCAGGGCAAAAGAGCAGGCGACCTCCTTGCCCCGCCACCAGGCCACGCCACTCTTGGCTCTTTGCTTCGCTGCTTCCTATTGGGAAGGTATTGTGTGTGGCAGTATAAGGCCCCATCTCTCCTCCTGAGGAGGCTGCGCCCACTTCCTGTTATGGTTCTAGTGCTCAGAGGCGGGGTTTGTGGAAAGTGATGGGCCACAGGGCCAACAGCTGACTTGCTGTTAGGAGGCAAGGCCCGGTGGGAAGTGCTTCACTGGGATTGTGACCTGACCCAGCACAGGGAACTGCATTTTCCCTATGACAGGAACTTGTGGCTCCTCCTGCCTCGGCCTCTCAGAATGCTAGGATTACAGGCACGCACCACCATGCTCAGCTAGTTCCTTTTTTTTTTTTTTTTAAGGAGGAGAGGTTTATTTTAGCTCATGTATTTTTTTTTTTTTTTAAGCAAGTAGATAAAATTAACTCTGTGTATCTTAGCTAAGTGGGGGGAGGAGGAGAAACTTTCTTACAAATGGAGCCATTAAAGTCCTTTAGACAGGCATGGTGGTGTAGGCCTGTAATCTCAGCATTCAGGAGGCTGAGGCAGGATTTGCAGTAAATTCAAGGCCAGCCTGGGCTACATGGTGAGTTCAAGGCCAGCCTGTACTACATAGCGAGATCTTGTCTCAAAAAAGAAAAAAAAAATTTCCTTCAACTCTAAGTTAAATTCTTGAGCTGCTCCTGGTGGTGCATGTTTATAGTCCTAGCACTTGGGAGGCTGAAGCAGGAGGATTAAAATTCAAGGCCAACCCGGCTACACAGTGAACTCAAGGCCAGCCTGAACGACATAGCAAGATCCTGTCTCAAAAACCGAAACAGAAAAGGTCCTGACTGAAGCCTGGATGTGGTGGCACAGGCCTGCAATCCTAGCACTGTGGGAAGCTAAGGGAGGAGGATGTCAAGTTTGAGCCCAGCCTGGGCAATTTAGCCACCTAGAGAGACTCCGTGTCAAAATAGAAAAAGAGGGGCTAGGGATGTAGCTCAGTCCTCAGAACTGCAGTTATTCCGTCAGGAACACAAGTTCAGAGCACCTTCCTACCCTAGTACTTCTCCAAGATGGCAGCCGGGCCTCTAGGTGGCCTTCCAAAATGGTACCTGAGCCACGCGTGGTGGCACATGCCTGTAATCCCAGCACTCAGGAGACTGAGGCAGGAGGATTGTTGTGAGTTTGAGGCCAGCCTGGGCTACAAAGTGAGCTCAAGGCCAGCCTGAAGTGCACAGCAAGACCCTGTCTCAAAAACACAAAATGGTACCTGTCCACCCTAGAGTTCCAGAAATCTCCCCCCACGTCGGTGACTGATGCGGGTGGATCCTCTGAGTCACAGCTTTGCCATTCTCCTCACACTTCAGACTCAGTGCTGGCCAGGACTCCTCTCTGAGAGGGCCTGGCAGGAGCTGGCGGGACAGGCAGGCAAAATCAACCAGCAACTTGTGAGAATATTTCAGTGAAAGGAAATTCTAACAGATGGAAAATGTGAAGCACCGGAATGATGTAAGGGTCTCACTGTCCTGTCCCCATCCTCCCTCAGCGGAGGCTGTGCAGACTCATCCTCCCAACTTTTTTTTTTTTTTTTTTTTTAATCTTTTTGAGACAGGGTCTCACTATGCAGTTCAGGCTGGCCTTGAGCTCACTTTGTAGCCCAGGCTGGTCTCGAACTCGCAACGATCCTCCTGCCTCAGCCTCCTGAGTACTGGGATTACAGGTGTGTGCCACCATGCCCAGCCTCCCAACATTTTGTCTTCACATTACCTCGTAGTTTCCTGGGGCTGCCAGAACAAACTCACAGCCCGAGCGGCTTCCAATAGCAGAAATTTATCTTTGAGAGTGGAGTCTGACACCGAGGTAAGAGCAGGGCCGCATTCCCCTGGGACTGTCTGGGGCTCCCGCCCAGCCTCTTCCTGCCTCCGGTGGTCTCCGGGAGTCTCTGGTGCTCCTGGGCTCGCGTCTGCTTAGCTCACTCTCTGCTTTGGTACTGACACAGCTTTCTCACTGTGTCTGTTTTTTCACGGGTGCCTCCTCCTCGTCTGCTCCTCCTCTTCCTTCTGTTCCTTCCTTTCCCAGTACTGGGCTTTCAGTCTAGGGCTTTCACACTGAGTTGCATACCCAGTCCTTTTTCTTAAATTTATTTTTTATCGTTATGTTTTTTGAGATACTCTTGCCTTGCAGTTCAGGTTGGGCTTGAACTCACGGCAAAAATCCTGCCTCAGCCTCCTGAGCGCTGGGATTATAAGTGTACACCATCACCTCATGCTGCGTTTTCCCAGCTCTCTTTTTAGTTTTTAAATTCTCAGACAGGGACTCGCTAAAGCACTCAGGGGCTGGGCTCAAACTTCTGACCCTTCCACCTCAGCCTCCTAGAGGGGTGGGATAACAGCAACACGTCCACTCACTTTCTGTTAAGAACATACATAAAGTCAGATTAGACTAGGGTCTGCCCTGCACCACTCTAACTTCATCTTCCGTATGAGGGTGACCTACTTAACATCTGCCACAACCTTATGAAATACTGGGGTTTTGGACTCTCAAGATATCTTTTTTTTTTGGCCAGGCATAGTGGCACATGCCTGTAATCCCAGCACTCGGGAGGCTGAGGCAGGAGGATCATTGCAAGCTGGAGACCAGCCTGGGCTACAAAGTGAGCTCAAAGCCAGGCTGAACTGCATAGTTCGGCCCTTTCTTAAAAAGACAAAAAAAAAAAAAAAAAAGAAAAGTCATCTTTTTTAGTTTTTGTTTTTTTTTTTTTCAGCACTGGGGATCCAATCTAGGGCCTTGAGCATGTTAGCCAAGTGCTGTACCACTGAGCTACACCTCTACCCCACAAGGTATCTCTTTATTTTTGGTCTTGGTGGGTGTGGAGAGACACAATTCAACCTAGCATGCCATCAAAGAACATTAACCTATGCACATAGAGTCCAAAAATACATTTCCCTATTTGAGAGGAAAAAACCAAACTAAAAATTATAAGGTGTTGGCCAGGCATGGCAGTGCTCCCCTATAGTCTCAGCACTGGGGGGCTGAGGCAGGAGGATTACCACAAGTTCTATACCAGCCTGAGCTACATAGTGAGTT